TTACCCAATAATGGGTGCCAAGGCAAGAAACAAGCCTTTTCTCTCTCTTCCCCCACCGTGCATCTCCATTTCCCTCAGACAATGACTGATGTGGTGGGTAACCCAGAGGAGGAGCGCCGAGCTGAGTTCTACTTCCAGCCCTGGGCTCAGGAGGCCGTATGCCGATATTTCTACTCCAAGGTAAGTACCGAGGGTGCACTGGGAAACTGACAAAAGACACGGGGTCTTCACCCCTGATGGGGGTCAGTGGTGTTAGATACCAACTTCTGGTTTGTCTCATCTTCCACTCCCTTCACTATTTTCTCCTTAGGTGCAGCAAAGACGACAAGAATTAGAGCAAGCCCTGGGAATCCGGAATACATAGGGCCTCTCCCACAGCCCTGATTCAGCTGCACCGATTCTTGATTGGGGCCCTGTGCTGCCTGCCTCATAGCACCTGCCTTGGTCTTGCTTGGGGCGTTCCAGGGGATGCCGTTGGTTCAAGGACAACATCAGAATGAAGAGGGTCTCACATTTCTGTCTCATAAGACACCTTTTATCCTCTTCTCTCACCCCATTCCTTCCTACCCCCCAGCTTCCCTTTGCCCCACAAAGTTCCCATGTGCCTCTACCCTCCCCTGGTCTATATAAGACCTCTAGATAGTATTAGAGAGAGAACCTGTAGTGGTAATGAGTGCTCAGAATGGATTGGGCCCAAGGCCAGTTGGTCTTTGAGGGGACCAGCTACACTGATTTTGCCCTTCAGAGACCCAGGAGTTGGGAGTTTTAGTCCCTTCTCCAAGACTCAGGCCTGGGGGCACTCTATAAGCTAGTTGATCTTGACTCTCCTGGTAACAAAATCCAATTTCCTTCCTTCCCTCCACAGGTTTGGAGCAAATGCTCCCTTCACTTGTTGCCCTGTAGCACTAAAGAAACCCTGGTTCTTGGGTTCCACGGGGCCCCAGGTCAGTCCCCAGCCCTCTGGGTTGGCCTGCTCTCTCAGTGCTTCTCTCACTCCTTAGTTGGGGTCCACATCAGTATTGGAGTTTGTTCTTTAACTATTGCTCCCTCCCAGACACTCCCTGTGGCTGCCCTTTGTGATTCCCTCAGATCTGCCCTAACCCCAGGCATTCGGGTGGGGGAATCTTGCCTTTCCCTTTCAGAGCCCCAGGGTTCTCATCTGGGGAACTGTCATTGCCAGCAGAGGCTGTTCCTTCCTGCTGTTGTTTGGAGATGTGACTCATTCATTCACTCCACCCTGCCTCCCCATCCCTTAATGGAGAAACAGGCCTAAAATCAAACGGGTAAAAAGCCCTGGGCCGTCCCTGTCTTCCTGTCCCTTGCCTGCCCAGTTGACACCTACTGGTGACTTTTAGGGCACTGAGGAGTGAAAGCGCCTAGGGCTGGAGAACAGCACTGAGTTGGGTTTGTGACTCTTCCCTCTCCCTGCCTCACAGGATTGTGACTCCCCAGCCCCTGCCCTCAAAGCTTCAGACCCCTCAGGTAGCAGCAGGACTTTGTGATCTAGGCCCCTTGGAACTGAGATGGTTTTTGCATCTTTCCAGGAGAGCCTCACAATCTTCCAGGTTGTATCACCCCCGAGTTAGCATATCCCAGGCTCGCAGACTCAACACAGCAAGGGTGGGAGACAGCTGGGCACAGAGGGGGAATTCCGTTCAGCATGGGCTCTAAACCCACAGAACTGACAAAGCCCCTGCTTCCCCACCCCCTCCTCAGGCTCCTGCGAGCACACCCCCACCCCCAAATCCCTGCCTGTTCTACACTGGGGACAGCAGAATTTTCTTCCCGTCTTCCCCTTGCTACCATTTTCCCTCCCTTGAAAGGTTGACACTGGACAACCTTGGGGCAGCTGAGCCCTGGCCTGCCTCCTGGCTGGAACCATGAGAAGGAAGCTCAGTACTTCCACAGTGTCCCTGTTGAGAACTGTTTTTATTAACTGAATTATTGTTTTTTTCATGGACCAAAATTTTTTTTGTACTGTCCCCTTATTGATGTTACCCAATTTTAATAAAAGAATCTTCTGAAGGATGGGTCCCCCTACCTACTGTGAGAGAGCTCTTCCCTGAGCTCTTCTTCCTTCAATACCATTAGCCATGCTCATAGTGTTTGTTCATTTCATTTGACATGTATTTATTGAGCACCTGCTATGTGCTAGTTGTGATGCTAGACATGGGAGGTACAGTGGCAAATGAGATTTCTACTATTGTGGACCTCAGGGTCTTACCTTAAGACATTGCTCTGACTGCCCTAGTGTTCCAAGCAGGCCAGTTGCTAGTTGGGATTTTTGGGCTTCACCACTGGATCTTAGAGCCCTTCCCCAACTTTCCTTGTTAGGCAGGTACTAACAGGTCAGTAGCAGTCATCTTCCCCCTTGTCCATCTGAGCTCCCCGGGGCACTTGCTGGCTAGAGTGAGCTTTGAATGCCTGTGATCCCTTAGGTTTGACTAACCTAAGCCTCCTTTGGAGGAGTTTCACTTTGCCCCCAGGGCTTCTCTCTAGATGTGGGCAGGACCTGGTCGACCAAAGACATTTTTGCTAGGCTGGGCGAGGTGGCTCAAGCCTATAATCCCAGCACTGGGAGGCTGAGGCGGGTGGATCACGAGGTCAAGAGATCGAGACCATCCTGGTCAACATGGTGAAACCCCGTCTTTACTAAAAATACAAAAAATTAGCTGAGCATGGTGGCACGTGCCTGTAATCCCAGCTCCTCCGGAGGCTGAGGCAGGAGAATTGCCTCACGAGGCGGAGGTTGCGGTGAGCCAAGATCGCGCCATTGCACTCCAGCCTGGGTAACAAGAGCGAAACTCTGTCTCAAAAAAAAAAAAAAAAGACATTTTTGCTTTTTGTGCTGGCTGCTCTTTAAGGTTCCACTTTCATGGTTCGGGTAGGAGTTCAATTCTTAAGAGCAGCATGGAAGTTCTGTGTTGTCATCCTCCTATTGTAGACAACCAATCCCTCGGCAGAGGGGAAGACAGCTCAGGAGGGATTCCCATTAACAATCACTTGAAACTCTCCTGCAATTTTTACTGCTTCCCACTTGGGGGTTCATGACTTTTTTCTTTCACCATTATCCCAGAGGGGTTTGGAATACAGGAATGAGTGCAACCACTTTCCAAAGTTGTAGTTTAAAATTATCCTTTGCCTCTTTGGATGGGAGCATTCTAGTATTGCCTGTTCAATATATGTAATCAAACCCACCAAAAAATCCAACCACTGTTCCTACTGTGGAACTTCGGGTTTTATCAGACTTGAGAAGGGGAAGCAGAGGAGTGGTTGGCCGATAGCTAGGAGGGGAGAAAATTGATGTCAAGGACATTGAAATGGCATCTGTTTTTACCCAGGCTAATTACATGTGTAATGAATGGCTGATGAACCATTATTAATTTCAAGCAAATAATCTACAGTTTGCTCTTGGGAAAAGAGCTCTAGTGATACAGATAACTTCCTGTAACGAGCCAATTCTGAATCTCTGCACCCTCTTTATTCCAATGTAAATGAGCACATTCTTAGTCTCCACACTACCTAAAATGATCGTGGGGCAAAATGAGAGAGGGAAGCATTTAGGCAAAAACAAGGGGGTTATTTTATGCATAAACATCCATTCTTTGGGGCGCCCGTCATTTGTGCCAGGGACAGAAGCATCCTTTCTCTTTCATCACCCGTAATCAGTGCTCCCAGCTGGCAGCCTGGCATTGGAGCCTTCATCTCAGTGCCAGTGCAATAAAGGAGTGGTCTGTAGGAGGCTGTTTCTGTATTAGGCACTGTGCTACGCTAAACAGCCAACTACTGATTTCATGTCAGTTTCCCTACGGGAACCCATTGGCCATGAAAGGAGAATATGGTTGGCTTTTCCTGGGCAGTCCCTGCAACTTAGCCATTTCTCCCCAGTCTTGACCTCCTGCCCACTTACTCTTACCCACGGGTTGCACACAGACACACCTCTAGCCCAGTGCTTGTTACCAGTTGCTGGCCAGCAGCAGCCCAGGGAGATGGCAACACCCACCTAGCCATCTGCCAAGCCACGAGGTCAGCACGTGAGCACACAGTGCTGTCTGCCCTCTAGGCCAAGGTGCACAGTGTTGGGAACCTCTTGCTCCACTCTCCAGATCAGCCTGGAAACCAGAGCTTCCTTTGTCTTCGTCAAACAGATGGCTGTGGGCGATGTAGAGCTCTGAACAGCTGAGTGTGTTCCCTCCCCCAAAAACACACACCAACCTTACCCCCAATCATTCGTCTGAGACCACAAAGCCCCATGGACACAGTGGCCCAGATCCTGCCTCCTTTCCCCTTTTCTGGCCTCTGCAAACTAGCTATTCACCCGAGGAAGTCCCCAGGGCAGTAACTTGGAAACCCCAGAGAGGAGGAGTTGAAGGAGGTTCAAAGCCTCTCAAGGGCACTGTGTACTATGCCTGCCTCCTATCCTCTCCTGTCCTCTTAAGCCCAGACTCTACAACAGAATTGTGTGCCACAATTCTGACAGCCATCCAGCTTTCACCTTTCTCGCCTTCCCTGGAACACATTTTTGAGTGGGGATCAACTGAGGTGAGAGGCCCATGGATAAGTCCCCGAGATGACCTCTGTGGGTGACCAAGATGACCTTGTCTTTTGAGGTTCCTGGGGTCTCTTAATCCTTCTTTGAGCTGGGCTGCCTTCAAAGACCTCTTTAAAGTGGGGAAGATAGGCCCACAGCTCCCACCCCAGCCCTGCAGTGGAGCTAGCATGGGCCTGCTAGAGGACAGAACTGTAGAACGGGGTCCTGGGAGGGTACATGGCAGCTCTGGGGATAGGGGGTCATGGAAGAGAATTCCTACCTCTGAAAAGCATTCCCCTCGCTGCTACTAAAGCTAAATGCAATTTATTTCATGCTGGGGGGCAGAGGGAGTGAGGGAGACCAGTCACCTGCTCCTTATCTGGGCTGTTTTCTTGGCAGACCTCAAAATGGGACTGTGGTGGGGAGGGAGTGGGAAGTTGGGCTGGGGCCAAGGGAAGAAGCTTGCCAGCACTGTCGGCCGAGCTCAGGAGGAAAAGCCGGGCCTAGCCTATGCCCCATTCCTGTTCCCCACCTGTCTCTACCCCTGTCTCCCCTTTCCCTGGTTCTGCCAGACTATCTCCCTGGGCACCAGCCTCCCCACCCACCCCTGGAAGGCGGGGCTTGGCTGCACCCACGTGTGGTGGAGTTAAATGCTCCTAGCCGGCAGAGGAGCTAGGGAGTGTGGCACTGAGCCGGCTCAGGCAGAGACGCGGCACCATGGCTAGCAAGAAAGTCTGCATTGTAGGCTCCGGGAACTGGTAAGCCGCTCTCTCAAGCGATATGGGGGAAGGGTGGGCCCCCCAGGACAGAGGTGGGTAGGAGGCAGGGTGGGTGGGAAAGGCCCTCAGGTTCCTGTTCAGCTCCTGCTGCTATCTTCTATGATAGCAGCACAGGACAGACGGTGCCCAGCTCTCTCCTGGCCCCTGCTCGCCTGGGCAACTGCACCTGTTCACCATGGGAAAGCATCTCCAGAGCGCTTGTGTGAAGAGCCACTAGAGTTTGGGGGTGGGAATATGAGAAGGCGGGCTCCCTTCTCTAGCAGCAAAGGGTGAGGAGACTGAGTCTCCTTTCTACTGCCAGGTCACTGTGGACATAGTTGTCCAGGGAGCAGAGGTGATAAGGAAGGTGGGAGTGAACAGCCTGAGGGGCTGCTGTGAGATCCTGAGGTGGGGCACTGCCCCAACTCCTGCTGCTGTTCCCTCCTCCTCCACTTCCCTGTGCTCCCCCTCCCTCCAGGGGCTCAGCCATCGCCAAGATCGTGGGTGGCAATGCAGCCCAGCTGGCACAGTTTGACCCACGGGTGACCATGTGGGTGTTTGAGGAAGACATTGGAGGCAAAAAGCTGACCGAGATCATCAACACACAGCATGAGAATGTCAAATACCTGCCAGGGCACAAGCTGCCCCCAAATGTGGTGAGTCCCAACACCCTGCAAGGAAGAGGGCGGGAGGGCCAGGAGTTGGAGCTGACCTTACTCAGCAGGTGCTTCCCGCTGAGGGGGCCACTTCAGGTGCGGCAGGACTTGGGAAGGCCTCAGGAAGGCTGCTCCGGGTCCTTTCCTGAGGATTTAGGAGAACCTGTGCTTTCCCCTCACAGGTTCCCAAGCAGGTGGGTGGGGAAGGGATGGGAAAACAAGTTGGTTTCCACGCAACCAAAAGACAGGGCTCCCAGACTTGGGGTCCTGTAGTGCCTGCCTCAGGCGCCAATCCTGTTACTCATTTACTGAGCAATTAGCCAACTTGGAGGCTGCTCCTTGGACTTACTGTCTTTGGTGAAATCCACGTGGCTCTCCCCACCTGGAAAGAGGAAGCAAGGAAGAGAGCAGAAAGGCTGGGGCTCCCCCTTCCCAGCTGGGGTCCCTTGGAGCTCCGTGATGAAATCTTATTTGAGCTCTTTCTTCTGCCAAGCCCAGGCTGCTTTTGGCCTCCCTCAACTGTCCCACAGCCAAGGGACAGGAGAGTGCTGGGATGAGGTTTCCAGGAGTCCTCAAGAGCCCGGGACAGCTGGAGGGAGAGGAAGTGTGGCTGGGGGGAGGGAGTGGAGTGTCTTATTCCTCCAACTTCAGTCCTTCTAGATTCAGTCCTGTTAGAGGCAGAATATTGACTTGCTGAGAAAACTTTTTGTCTGAATGCTAATTTTTCCTTGCAGCACCTAGGAATATGCATTCTATCTCTAACAAGTCCCAAACAAGCCTTCCTTCTCCCCTACCAGCCTCACTCTTTGGCTCCCAGATCTCCTGAATGGGGTTCCACAGGGGCTAGGGGAGGTCTGCCAGGCCCTTGAGCACTTGGTCACCCCCACAGGTGGCTGTCCCAGATGTGGTCCAGGCTGCAGCGGATGCTGACATCCTGATCTTTGTGGTGCCGCATCAGTTCATCGGCAAGATCTGTGACCAGCTCAAGGGCCACCTGAAGGCAAACGCCACTGGCATATCTCTTATTAAGGTGCCAGGGACACCTTCATGTGGATGGGGGAGGGTGCAGCTCACTGCTGTGGGGCTCAGGGTGGGTGAATCAAGGAGAACAGAAAATGGCAGATGTGGGCCAAGAGTTTGTCAGAAAGAAGGGAGGAAGTTGGCTCTGGAGAGGCTTAAGAAAGCAGTGAGGTGCTGGGGACTGATGGAAGGGAGGCTAAAGGGAGGAGATGAGAGATTGGTTTGGAGGTCCTGTTTCCCGGGGAGTTTGAGAGGTGTAAAGTGATTCGAGGGGATATGAGAAGGGGGCTGGTTTGAGAATGTGCGTAGCTGGTCTGGAGCAGTGACGGGTCTCTGAATGGAAGTTTGTTGGAGCAGTCAGGCGGGGTTGCCTAGGGATGTGGAGGGACCTGTTGCCTTGGAGAGGTAGGTTGGTTGAGGGTATGTGGCGGGAGAGTTTGTCACATGCTGTCTGGCCTCCTCACAGCAAACTTGAGCTGGGTTGGAATGGGGCAGGACCTCTGGGGAGGGACACAGATGGGCAATGGATTTGGAAGGGATAGAATTTCTGGGCAGAAGCCCACAGGTGGGCACAAAGGGCACCTGGCCTGAGCTCCATCCTGTGCTCAGGGGGTAGACGAGGGCCCTAATGGGCTGAAGCTCATCTCCGAAGTGATTGGGGAGCACCTCGGCATCCCCATGAGTGTGCTGATGGGGGCCAACATTGCCAGCGAGGTGGCTGATGAGAAGTTCTGTGAGACAACCATTGGTGAGAGCCCCCTGCCAATCACATACACAGTGCATCTAGTTGCATCCCCTCCCCAAACTGCCCCAACCCCACTTAGCCATCTCCTTCCCATAGGCAGAGAAAGGAAGATCCAAGCATCAGAGATGAAGGAGGCTGGGACACCCCCAGGGAAGGGGCTACAGGGCCTGCTTAGCGCAAGTGCGGGAAGCACAGCGATGAGCCCTCCCTCAGAGCCGGTGCAGTGGTGCACCTGTGGTCCCAGCTACTCAAGAGGCTAAGGCTGAGGTGGGAGGATTGCTTGAACCCAGGAGTTTGAGTCCAGCCTGGGCAACATAGAGAGAAACCCATCTCTGTGAAATAAATATTTTTTTAAAAGAGTCCTTCTCTCAAGTCTTGCCCCCTCCTCACTTTAGGCTGCAAAGACCCAGCCCAGGGACAACTTCTGAAAGAGCTGATGCAGACACCCAATTTCCGTATCACCGTGGTACAAGAGGTGGACACAGTAGAGATCTGTGGGGCCTTAAAGGTGAGAGGGGCACAGAGTAGCTATGGGGTGAGGAGAAGGCCCCAAAGGAGGCCTGGCTAAGCTCTGCAAGGCTGCAGGCACTCCAGGCTCTCACTGTTGAGTAGTGGTTCCCCTTCCCTACCATGTCCCATGCATATTGGAGGGGCTGCAGAAGCAAGGCCAGGGAGCCCTTCAGGCTGGCTGATTACTTACCATCTGACTGTGGACCCCCTTGTTCCCTTCCCACTTTAGCCCCATGTGGGACCCCCTACCACCTGGCTCCAGGAGGTGGTCCAAGGGGATGAGGGGATGCCCAGGCTAATAGGTGACAAGACATCCACGACACCCAGACAGACTCATGGCCAGAAATATGGATCCTGGACAGCTGTTGACTTGAGGGCTATAAAATGGAATAGTCATAGATGAGAGGGCCAACTAGAGAAAAGAGTGGTTTTCAGAAAATGTCTTCAAGGAGGGAGTATGGGGCAGGGCTTAAGAAAGGGGGTACAGCAAAGTGGGGAACCAAGAGGCAAAAGTAGTTTAGGAGCCTACACACTATACCTCACTATGCAGTGGGTGTCATGGCTGATGAAAGGAACATGAAGGGGTCCACATGGGGACTATAGGAGGGGGTCTTTTCTCATTGATGACCTCCACTTCTTCAAGAATGTAGTGGCCGTGGGGGCTGGCTTCTGTGATGGCCTGGGCTTTGGCGACAACACCAAGGCGGCAGTGATTCGGCTGGGACTCATGGAGATGATAGCCTTCGCCAAGCTCTTCTGCAGTGGCCCTGTGTCCTCTGCCACCTTCTTGGAGAGCTGTGGTGTTGCTGACCTGATCACTACCTGCTATGGAGGGCGGAACCGGAAAGTGGCTGAGGCCTTTGCGCGTACAGGAAAGGTGGGCCCAGGGAGAAGGGAGAACAGAGTGGGGGCCCTATAGGCATCCAGATAGAGGTGCTTGGCAGGAGGCATCTCTGGAGCACAAACATTAAGACGGTTGTGAACATCCCCATCCCTATTTTCCTCTGAAGACCCCACTTCCATCTGAGCTCGTCTCCCCCCATTGAAAGCCCTCCTCTCCCATTTCCGTCTACTTGTCCTGTTTTCTGCACAGTCCATTGAGCAGCTGGAGAAAGAGATGCTGAATGGGCAGAAACTGCAGGGGCCCCAGACAGCCCGGGAGCTACACAGCATCCTCCAGCACAAGGGCCTGGTGGACAAGTAAGTGTTGGCCACAGCCCCACTGATTAAGGGAGCCATGGCCAGAAGTGCTTACCCTGTTCATCTTCCTGCACCCACCACAAATCTGTGAAGTGGACAGAGAGGGGAGTGTTACCTTATGTTTCAGACAGAGTCCAGAACTTGCAGAATCTGGCATCCCCATTGTCCCCCAGCTAGTTCATGGTCTTTGAACTCCTTCCAGTCTAGTGCTCTTCACACTACATTACCTGGATCCCTTCGTGCCCCTCCTTCCTTGCCTTCTACTCTGGGGATTGGAGCTCTGGGGCAGCAGAAATAAGCTCATCAGCCAGGCGCAGTGGCTCATGCCTGTAATTCCAGCATTTTGGGAGGCCGAAGCGGGCAGATCCCCTGAGGTCAGGAGTTTGAGACCAGCCTGACCAATACGGAGAAACCCCGTCTCTACTAAAAATACAAAATTAGCCAGGCGTGATGGCGTATGCCTGTAATCCAGCTAGTCCGGAGGCCGAGGCAGGGGAATCGCTTGAAGCCAGGAGGCAGAGGAGTTGCAGTGAGCCAAGATTGCGCCACTGCATTTCAGCCTGGGCAAAGAGTAAAATTCCATCTCGAAAGAAAGAAAGAAGCTTATCCCACTTTTGTCTATCACTCCCAGTTTGAGTCTCTCCCCCAAGGCCAACCCATCTGTTCCCTGAATCCTGTCCTGGGTGCTGAGGTATAAGAAGGATGGGCTCTGTTTCAAGGTGCTCCTTTTCAGGGAGCAGAAAGATAGCAGGGGTGACTGGGCTGATCAGAGCAGAGCTGTGCTGGTCTGAGAAAGACTCTTAGAAGAAGAGAGCAGGAAACAGGTTCAGGGCCGGGCGCGGTGGCTCACGCCTATAATCCCAGCACTTTGGGAGGCCGAGGTGGGTGGATCACGAGGTCAAGAGATCGAGACCATCCTGGTCAACATGGTGAAATCTTGTCTCTACTAAAAATACAAAAATTAGCTGGACATGGTGGTGCGCGCCTGTAATCCCAGCTACTCGGGAGGCTGAGGCAGGAGAATTGCTTGAACACAGAAGGCGGAGGTTGCGGTGAGCCGAGATTGTGCCATTGCACTCCAGTCTAGGTAACAACAGCGAAACTCTGTCTCAAAAAGGAAAAGAAACAGGTTCAGAAGATTCACTCATGGCTGGTCATGGTAAAGCCTGGAAAAGGGAGCAGCTGGGCAAAAGGATGGGAAGAAAGAAATGGGCATTTATTGAGCACTTTCACATCATACCTAATTATATCTTCACATACACATTCATATCTTCACTCCCTTGTTATACTGGCCCCATTTTACAGTTGATGACACTGAGGCTCAGAGAGGTTAAGTGGGTTGCTCAATTGGCATGAAAAAAATCCAAGCCAGAGAATCATGCCGGCCAGTTCAATGCTGTAGGGAGCAGGGCAATTAGGAATCTGACCTTAAACCCAGGGCTAAGGAGACTACATTCTCAGCAGGTAGAAATTAACAGCCAGCCTTCCTGAGCTCCCAGGTAGGAGGGCAGGGGACAGGAGGGTTAGGTGGTGAGTGGAGGTGAGGGTGGAGCGGACCAGGAGTGGGAGGCTAAGCTGGGCCTTTCCCTCTCCAATCTAGGTTTCCCTTGTTCATGGCTGTGTACAAGGTGTGCTACGAGGGCCAGCCAGTGGGTGAATTTATCCGCTGCCTACAGAATCATCCGGAACATATGTGAGTGGGGTCAGGGCCCAGGCCAAGCCGCTTCTTTACCCCAGTGGAGACCAGGAGAAGCCTGGGGTACCGAGTCATCAAGATCTCCAGGACTCCCAGGGAACAGAGTCTTCTCATCTTTTCACTGGAGGACAGGAGGCTGTGGGGCCCAGCTAAACACTTGGAGATTCTGAACTCTCAAGTCACTGGCAGCCTCTTGCCACCACATCTGATAGAAATGCAGTTGCCCTGTCCTTCTCCAGATGTAGGGCTTACTCCTTGTCCTCTGGGAGGGGTGGAATCAAGCCCCAGTGCTGCCTGCTTGGGGTGGGTGGGTGGAGTATATGTGGGGAAGGGTTGGGGGAGAGGTAGCAGGGCAGAGGCTGCCAGTGGCTGTCTCACACAGACCAGGAATCCTGTTAAAGGGCTGAAGAAATATCTTAGCCACAGCAGGAATGAGGCAAGGATTGTCAGGGAGGGGTCTGGGCTTCTGAGCTGATGCAGGCCCCAGGGACCCCTTTGCTGACCTTTGCCAGGACCCACACAGCTTCAGTGGATCTCAGTGTTTGTTAACAAAATACAAAGATCTCAAAAAACCCCCTTCTAGCTTCTCCTAGCAACATCTGCGTCCTCAGAAACCTCTGGTCCTCCCCTTTCCCCCCTCCCCCAGGCTGCCCTGGCACCCGAGTTGCTGCCATGCTGGCATCTCTAGCCGGGTGGCTTGACATTCTCCCCAGGGACTTCCCAGTTTCTAGTTCTTTGCCAGCTCCTCCCCGTTCTGTGTGACCTTTCCAAGCCCTCCCTCACCCTCCCCGCCAGCACCCTCTTTGGGGAGCAGGAACTTAATCTGCTGACAGAGCTATACCTTTCACAGCAGGCTCAGATCACTGGGCTCCCTGTGACCTTTGTGTTCCCTGGCCTCCCTTCGCAGTAGCTTTAGCTGGGGGAGGTGTCAGCTGGGCCCCTCCTGTGCTATTTCCCCAGAGGACATCCCTGACTCCACCCCTTTCCTCCTCCCAAACCCTGCACCTATTCTTCAGCTGCTCCAGACTGGCCAGGGTAACCAGCTAACCTGTGCCTGGCATCTGGAAGCCAGCAGGCCAGAGGGTGGCCCAAAGGCTGATGAAGCCTAGGGAAGGGTGAGCAGGTGGGTGGGTATCGATATTCCAAGGGCAGCTCTTTGCTAAATGATGACCACACCAGCACCTCAGCAGCTGGGAAACTTAGGAGAAGGAAGAAAATAAAAATCACCCTACTCCCTGGGGTAAGGGAAGAACAGGAGCCGGGGAGGAGGAGTGTGCTCTGCACTGGCCTTGCTCCAGGATGGGTGGCAGTATTAGAATGTCAGAGGTCAGCAGCCTAGGCCTCCAGCTATAAATAATCCGAGGGCCTGAGAGGCTCCCGCCCGTCCAGCAGGGGTCTCAGCTTCCTGTGTGGCAGCACCTGGCACACTGGCTCTGGCCAGTATTATGCTAAAGCCCTCTTACTCTCCAACGAACCAGGGAGGCGGGCTCCTCTCTGCGCCTAGCCCTTGAGAATTCCTACCAGTGAAGGGCGGAGCTGCCCAGATCACGCAGCAAGAGTGAGGGCCACAGTTACCCCAGGCCTGGCTGAGCCCAGGTCTGGGCACTCAGTGACTTCAGAGCTGTCTCCCCAGGAGGTTAAGGTGGAGGCAAAGGGGAAGCTTCAAACACTTTTGCCTACTTTTGTTCCACCTGTCTACCCAATAAAGCGTGTTTTTCCAGAAACAGGAAGAGTTGGGAGAGGGAGCTTCAGTGCATGTGGCAGTGTGTGTGCTAGCGTGTATCACTGCACGTATGTTTCCCCTCTTACCGTAGGAAAAATGAAAAAAGAAATCCCTCCTCCATAATCGCAGCCACTCCAGGGGTCAGCGGTGGTGCCCACTCAGTACCCTCCTCTCTCTCCCCTCTCCTGCCAGCGCTCCTTCCCGCCCTCGCCGCAAGCTGGCTCCCAGCCTTCCCCACGCTTCTTAGGGGCTTTATCATGTCCTGCAAGAAGACACGTCATACACGAGACAGAAACGTTAGACACTCATCCGTCGTGCCCATTCCTTGGTCACGGCCCAAGCTGCCGCCTCCTTGGCAGTCAAGACCTCGCGGTGCCGCTCCAGTCCCTACCTGGACTCGGCCCGCAGCCTGGCTCTAGGGAGCGCGCGGTCCGCCTCCAGACGGCCAGCTCCGAGAATCTACCTAGCTACTGTTGACGTCACCAAGCTGTACGCCGAGGATTGGCTGATTCTGATTTAGCATCCTAACACTTCCGGTTCCTGAGCTAGGCTAGCCAAAGACCCTGCCTCGAGGGAGCGAAACCACAGCCCCCAGAATTCAGCGGGCCTCTCGGAGAGCACGGGGAGTCTGAGGATGCGTAGTAAAGATAACGGGCCCGGAAGCCCGAAGTTCAAAGTCGGCCCCCAGCCGGAGTGGTGGCCCTCCCCAACTCCCGCCTTAGTGGGAGGAGTTGTGCAGCGTCTAATGCGCGGTTCCCTTTGTAGCGTCTCAAGCCGAATCCTAGAGGCTAATCCGGCAGGTGGGAGGGAGAAAGTCGCCTTCCGCACCAATAGCTGAGGCGTTCAGGGTTGTCCAGGGACGCTACCCGCTCGTGTCTGGTTCTGAGTGCTGCGTTCCGGCGTGCTGGAAAGTTGCGCAGACAGTGGCAGCGAGACGCTGCCTGCCTGAGGAGGCCTCGGTTGGACGCGAAGGAGCTGCAGCATCCAGGTACGCCGCCGGCTAGAGCCGAGCAGGGGCCGGCGATCCCGCTGCTTGCGCGCGCATCTGGGTCCTCCCGTCCCCCAGTCTTCAGGCCTGGTGTCCTTGAATTCAGTCACCCGCGTCTGCTGCGCCGCGGACCGTGAGCCGCACTGTTTCCTGCCCAAGCCCCTCGCGGCAGTAGTTCGGCCTTGCTAGCGCTCAGCGCTGATCCTGTCAAACTCGAGTCCTGCCTGGCGTCTCGACCCTCCACGCTCCTACTCCAAATGCCCCTTTGCCTTATAGACCTCTGCGCCCTGATAAGTGGCTCACCGGAGCACCCTTCGTGCATATCGGTTATCCAGCTCCACCTCTTGGCCGCTTTCACTTCCTGGAATGCTCTCCCTGCTCCTCTTCTCCAGGTCACCCTTCTAAAAAGACAGTTCCACCCCCACCCCGATTCCCACCCCTACACCTTTCTGCTAACTTTTCTCGAGCCCCCACCCTGTCTCTGAGCTCTTGTTTCTGAACTCACGATACCTCTCCACCAGACCATAAGGTCCGTTATGGCAGAAGCCATGTTCTTTTTAGCGGCCTTCATAGCAGGATGTATTTTATTTTTTTTTGTTTTTGAGACAGGGTCTTGCTTTGTCGCTCAGGCTGCAGGCACGCACCACTACGCCCGGCCTTTTTTTTTTTTTTTTTTTTTTAATAGAGACATGGTCTCGCTATGTTGCCCAGCCTGGTCTCCAACTCCTGAGCTCAAGCCATCCTCCCGTCTCGGCCTCCCAAAGTGTTGGGATTACCAGTGTGAGCCACCTCGCCCAGCCAATATACTCCCTAAGTGCTGAATTAAAGTAGATAAATGCTGATGGATACCCTAAAAGTCCTGAGTTGACCACTATACAATCTGCTTGTAGCAAAATCGCATTTCTACCCGTACATTTATACAAATTTTTAAAAACAAGTGAATCTAAGCCGAGATGATAGATGAATTTGAGGGAATGAGTTTTCCAGGGGGGAGGAGAAGCCCTAGTCTTGAGGTCCCCTTGTGTTTAGAAGGCAGAACAAGAGAAAAGCCATATAACCTTTGCGAATTGCACCCCATTTTCTGTAATGATTCTGTTTTCTCGCAATGTTCTGAAACTTGCAGCCCAACCCCATCACTCCATAAGAGAGACCCAGTGTTTTGTGCTTTACTGAGAAAATGCATGTCCCTCAGATAAAAGGGTGCCTCTGCTAACCTCAAAAGTTTCCCTTATATTGCCAAGGTTAATCCCTCTACTCAGGCATATAATTTTTTTTTTTTTTTTTTGAGCCGGAGTTTCACTCTTGTTGCCCAGGCTGGAGTACAATGGCACAACCAAGGCCCACTGCAACATCCGCCTCCTGGGTTCAAGCAATTCTCTGTCCTTTGCCTCCTGAGTAGCTGGGATTACAGGCATGTGTCACCATGCCCTGCTAATTTTGTATTTTTAGCAGAGATGGGGTTTATCTATGTTGGTCAGGCTGGTCTCGAACGTCCAACCTTAGGTGATTTGCCTACCTCTGCCTCCCAAGGTGCTGGGATTACAGGTGTGAGCCACTGGGTCCAGGCTGGGTGTATAATTTCATCATTTCCTAGGCCATTAGCTCGCTTGTTCTGTCCTGCCCACCTCACTTCTTTTATCCTCAGTTTAGCCACCAACTTCATCCCCTTTAAAACACATTCTAGGCTGGGTGTGGTGACTCACGCCTGTAATCCCAGCACTTTGGGAGGCCGAGGTGGGTGGATCCATTTGAGGTCAAGAGTTCGAGACCAGCCTGGCCAACATGGTGAAACCCCATCTCTACTAAAAATACAAAAAATTATCCAAGCATGGTGGCATGTGCCTGTAATCCCAGCTACTGGGGAGGCTGAGGCAGGAGAATTGCTTGAACCCAGGAAGCAGAGGTTGTAGTGAGCCAAAATTGTGCCACTGCACTCCAGTTGGGCGACAATGAAATTGCATCTCAGAAAAGAAAAAAAAATTTAGATCTTTCTCATTAGTAAGCAAAACAACAGTAGAATTTTCTTAATCTTGTTACCTTCTCAAGCAGCTGTTCCATAACTCCCATCAATACTTACCTTTAGGGTGAGATAAAGGTGAGGATTGTGATTCTTGTAAAAATGTTTCTCTGTCCTGAAAAAGTGGTAGACACATGTGAATCTTACAGGGTTCATAAGCCTGCTGAGGCCTTGGCTAAGAATCTGTGCTCTTGATGTCTGTACTGCCCTTTAGCTGATGCTTATACTACCTGTTCCAGTTCAGTGGAATAAATTGACTAGAACCCTAGGCTTGGCTGGGAGCGGTGGCTCACACCTGTAATCCCAGCACTTTGGGAGGCTGAGGAGGGTGGATCACGAGGTCAAGAGTTCGAGACCATCCTGGTCAACAAGGTGAAACCCCGTCTCTACTAAAAATACAAAAATTATCTGGGCATGGTGGTGCACGCCTGTAGTCCCAGCTACTCGGGAGGCCGAGGCAGGAGAATTGCTTGAACCCAGAAGGCGGAGGTTGCGGTGAGCCAAGATCATGCAATTGCACTCCAGTCTGGGTGACAGCAGCGAAACTGTCTCAAAAACAAACAAACAAAAAAAGAACCCTAGGCTTACCAGTGACCTAGTCACCGGTCCCCACCCAGTGTTCCCATCAGACCAGTCTTCATAATAGTTAACTTTACAGTAGTGGTGCCCAATTATTTTTCTTTTTTTTGAGACAGTGTTGCTCTGTCGCCCAGGCTGGAGTATAGTGGTGCAACCTCCGCCTCCCAGGTTCAAGCAATTCTCATGTCTCAGCCTCCTGAGTATCTGGTACTACAGGCACCTGCCACCATGCCTGGCTAATTTTTGTATTTTTAGTAGAGATGGGTTTTCTCCATGTTGGGCAGGCTGGTCTTGAACTCCTGACCTCAGGTGATCCACCTGCCTCAGCCTCCCAAAGTGTTGGAATTACAGGCATGAGTTACCTTGCCTGGCCTGAAGAGTTTTTGCTAATTGGATACTAGGGGGCACCTCAGCATTAATTAAGACAAGAGAGGGAAGTAAGGGTCTAGACACCAGGATTATGTTTATTAGTTGGTTTTATGTCACTTTTCTAGCCAAGCTGTACCATCCTGTTTTTGTTGGTTGGTGAATGCTTCCAGTTCTTTTTCTCCAGCCCTTGGAAGAGGTGGTCCTATAGTTGTTAAGCATTTGGCTAGGGTGATGGGGAGTGGGGATAAGAATAACAAGTGATGGGGAAGTCGAAGGCTGAAGGTGTCTTCGCAGGGTGCTTGTTTACTACCTTAGTGTCCAGTTCCATGGGTGTGTGTTTTCTTCACTGACTCATGCACAGCGTGGGGTCATTTCAATCTCAGATGACCTGAATACGGTCCTTTCCTATCTTGAACTTGTGTCGCTTTGTATTCTTCCTCTGACCTCACTTAATGTTACTTTCCATAGTGGGATTGTATGTCAAAGAAGCTGTGCCTCAGCTCAGCTTGGGTGTGCACTCAAGGCCTGGCTCAAAGGTAATGTTCAGCCTTAGGGTTTACTCTGAGAAGCATTTACATGTAAATGTATCCATCTCTGACTCCTCTAAACCAGCAAATCCTGAACATTACTTTCAATTTTTTTTTTTTGTTTTTTTTTTGAGACAGGGTCTCACTCTATCACCCAGGCTGGAGTGCAGTGGTGTGATCTCAGCTCACTGCAGCTCGACCTCCTGGACTCAAGCAGTCTTCCTGTCTCAGGCTCCTGAGTAGCTGGGACTACAGGCACATGCCACAATGCCTGGCTAACTTTAAGAAAAAAATTTTGTGGAGATAGGGTCTCACTGTGTTGCCCAGGCTGGTCTTAAATTCCTAGCCTCAAGTGATCCTCTTGCCTTGGCCTCCCAAAGCATGGGATTACAAACGTGAGCCACCATGTCCTGCCTAGGTTCTTGACTTTGTTTGCGTGTATGTTTTGGTGTGTGTGCATATGCACATGGTAAGGGGTAGGATTTTAAGTGTCTCTGCCTACAGTGCTGAGAGCCAGTAGTAAGTGGAGTGCAAGCTGCCAAAACTAAAAATAGGGTCCTCTTAGGCCTCACTGACAGGCTTATGGGAACCCAGTTCCCTCCAGGCTCCTCAGGACTGGGTCTTAAGGTCCCTGGCTTCCACCCTGGCACTCTTTGTCTCTCTCTTTTTTTTTTTTTTTTTTGAGATGGAGTTTCCCTCTTTTGCCCACACTGGAGTGCAGTGGTGCCATCTTGGCTTACTGCAACCTCTGCCTTCTGGTTTCAAGCTATTCTCCTGCCTCAGCCTCCTGAGTAACAGATTACAGGAATGCGCCACCATGCCTGGCTGATGATTGTATTTTTTAGTAGAGACGGGGTTTCACCATATTGGCCAGGATGGTCTCAAACTCCTGACCTCATGATCCACCTGCCTCGGCCTCCCAAAGATTATAGGTTTGAGCCACAGCACCTGATCCCCATTTTTTTTTTTTTTTTTTTTTTTTTTTTTGAGACAGAGTCTTGCTCTGTTGCCCAGGCTGGAGTGCAATGACGGGATCTTGGCTCACTGCAACCTCCATCTCCCAGGTTCAAGCAGTTCTGCCTCAGCCTCCCGCGTAGCTGGGATTACAGGCACGCACCACCATGCCCAACTAATTTTTGTATTTTTGGTTAGAGACGGGGTTTCACCGTGTTAGCCAGGGTGTTCTTGAATTCCTGACCTCAGGTGATCCACCCATCTCGGTCTCCCAAAGTGTTGGGATTACAGGTGTGAACCACTGTGCCTGGCCCCACCTTGGCACTCTTAACACAGTTTTGCCTCTCCCTGCTATTTCTGTCAGTCTTTGTGTAGCTTGGACATACCCCTAACCTGTCTTTAACAAATACCATGCTCTGGTTTTTGTTGTTTATCTAAAAATATATATGTATTTGTTATTTTTTATTGAGGTACTCTTCTTGACTTTTAAGAATCCTATTAACTAATTTCATTCAGTCTTGTAATTTCAATTCCCTCAACAGAGATGTGCCTAGGAACACATTCATAGTCCCAAATTGAGGGACGTTTTGTTCCAGATGAGGGATTCTCTACTAAACTTTCTCTTGTTTCCTAGCTTGGAATATCCAGGGAACAGTTAAATTAGAAGTAATTTATGTCATGCAAATGTGAGTTAACAATTTGCTGGAGACCCAATAAGTTTTTTTTTTTAGCCTATGGGATAGGTTCTTAGTGTTGAGTTTAGAACTTAGATTAATGCTATCGAAGGTTAAGTATAATTGAAATAATATAAAAGTACTTTTTGGCACTATTTCAGTTATATTATGGCTTAAACAAGCTTTAGTGTTGACTTGGAAACCTAACCACTGTGAATAAGATTGTTTTTATGGGGAAACAAATTGGATATTGCCTGAAAGGTTCCCATTTGATCTTCCTAGAGAGAATAATTCACTGCAAATGTTTCATTTCTACCTCCATTAGTTCCCTCCTAGCTATAAAAACCGATGCTTGCTTAAAGTAATGTTAACAGTTAGAGCAGCCCTGGATGGTGCAATGGCTCAGCCCTTTACAAAATCCTAGCGCTTTGGGATGCCGAGGTGGGAGGATCACTTGAGCCCAAGAGTTCAAGACCAGCCCTGGCAACATAGCTAGATCCCGTCTCTACAAAAAAATAGAAAAGCTAGGCAGGTGTGGTGGTATATACCTGTACTTTCAGCTACTTGGGATGCTGAGGTGGAAGGGTAGGCTTGAGCCCAGGAGGTCAAAGCTGCAGTGAGCCATGCTCACACCACTGTACTCCAGCCTGGGCGTGCAGTGAGAACCTGTCTCAAAACAAAACAAACCCCAGCAGCCCAGGCTGGTCCATGCCACTCACTTCTCTCCATAGGCATGGCAGGCCAAGTGTCAGCTGTGATGACATTCAGAGGCACCTGGTTCCAGGCTTGTTTCTCTATCTTGTATGCAGACTTGATTTGCCCTTTTGAATCAGAGTTCCTAAATGATATCTTCCAGTATGATTATGAGTCTTTACTTAGGTATGGGGCCAATCAGTATAGAGTGCAGACAGATCAGGCAGGAGGCAGAAGTTATGGAATGGTCTTAAACAGGGAGATGGGCCAGGCAGATGAGGCCTTATCCTCAGGTCTAAATTCAATCTGTCTTTGTAGGGGACAAGATGCCAACTGCCAAGCAGCTAGCTGACATTGGCTATAAGACCTTCTCTTCCTCCATGATGCTCCTCACTGTGTATGGGGGGTACCTCTGCAGTGTCCGAGTCTACCACTATTTCCAACGGCGCAGAGCCCGGCGCCAGGCCGCAGAAGAACAGAAGACCTCAGGAAACCCGTAGAACTGGGGCTTTTTCTCCTGAGCAGAGAGGCCCAAGGCATGCTGTGGAGAGACCTGACCTGCCACTATTTCCAAGTCAAGAGGACTAGAGCCTTGATGGTTTTCAAACTCTGTTGGAAGAAGGTGCCCATGGTTTCTCTGGTTCTGCCAGTCTGTGCCAGTTTGACAGTTTGTGGAGGCTATTGAATCATAATAGGAATGTGAGGGTGAGGTATACCTACAGACATTAAATATTTTGCCATGTCTGTGTCTTAGTGTTTTTTTGTTTACCCAAATAGTGTATGGGCCACAAAAGGGGAGCCTTGACTACCAGTTTTATGGGTGTGGACTAGATTACCATATCTTGAGCTCTTAGCACCCATGAAGTGGGTGATATACAGTTCCAGGAGTAGTATCTGCCCTCATGATCTCAAAGGAAAGATTGTCCCAGGATTTATATAAATCCCCTGAAAGAATTCTATAAGGAGCTTTTCTCTGGGCAATGCCCATTCCTGTGCTGATTACCGTGTCTAGGTATTGGGTTACTCCGGCCAGCATGGCCACGTGTGCAGCTCTGCATTGAGGAAGGCAGAGGTCCTTGTTTGACAACCGTAATCAAACTGCACACAGTAGACAAGGACAGGTCCCAAGAGGAAGGGCTGGGGCAGTTCACCTCTTTAAGCTCAGTGGGTGTAGTAGAGCGTAAGGATAGATTCACTGTGCTACTGCACAGGAAACCTACCTGGAGGTCTTATTGCAGAGATGTGAAGAGGATTTGAAAGAGAACAAAGTGCTTTCAAGATAAGACCTCATTAGGAAGTGATCCTTGCCACCATTCCATTTTGAGCTTTGAGACTAAAGCTGGTTCACCTCCTTCTTGGTGATTGCCCAGAATATCAGTTACTCTGGACACCTGTCCTCTCCCATATGCTCATGTGCAGACTGTGCTGACCTTTGCCCCTGCTCATAAACCTCTTTCATGATTTTAAAACACCAACTTTTGGCTGGGCACAGTGGCTCACACCTATAATCCCAGCACTTTGGGAGGCTGAAATAGGAGGATCCCTTGAGCCCAGGAGATCCTTTGAGACCAGCCTGGACAACATAATGAAACCCTGTCTCTACAAAAAACATTTTTTAAATTAGCCAGGCGTGGTGGTGCACACTATAGTCCCAGCTACTCAGGAGGCTGAGACTGGAGGATCACTTGAGCCCAGGAGGCTGAGGCTGCAGTGAGCTACGATTATGCCACTGCAGTCTAGCCTGGGTAACAGAGTGAGACCCTGCCAACCAAAATCCATCCCTCCGTGTATATATACCAACTTCCCTATATCCTCAACCCCTCTACTCCCATCTTCTCTGTGTTACCCAGGGCTCTCCCGCCTGCTCTGCTTTCTCACAGTAGGGCCATAATTCTCCCAGATCCTCAGTGTCACTTTCAAATATTACCTTCCCTACCCAAGCATGAAATTAGTCCTTTTTGACAAACTTTCTTATATTCTTATTCCTATTCCTCTAGACCTTGAAGACTTGAGGTCTCTTGATTCCATTTTCCCCAGTCTGTCAGCCCCCTTTGCCTGCACTGCTTCCCTGTCCAGCGTATGCCCATAGCTGAACCCCTGAACAACCCACTAGCACCCGTGGTCTCTGTCTTCATCTGTCCTGCTACCAACCTTGAACCTGGCTCCTTTAATTACCTTCTCTAACTCACCCTCTCTTTTTGAGTAGGTAAACCTGCATAAGACCTTCTACCCTGCACCAAAATACCTATTCAAGGTTTTTTGTTGTTTTTTTTTTTTTAGATGGAGTCTCGCTCTGTCACCTAAACTAGAGTGCAGAGGTGTGATCTTAGCTCACTGCGACCCTCCATTTCCCAGGTTCTAGCAGTCCTCCCACCTCAGCCTCCCGAGTAGCTGGGATTACAGGTGCATGCCACCACCCCCGGCTAATTTTTGTATTTTTAGTAGAGACAGGGTTTCACCATGTTGGCCAGGCTGGTCTTGAACTCCTGACCTCAGGTGATCCTGCCGCTTTGACCTCCCAAAGTGTTGGGATTACGGGTGTGAGCCACTGCACCTGGCCCCTGGGATGGTCCTGTACAACAAATTGTCTTAAGTTCTTCACAACTATCAGATGTCCTAGATACTTGGTAGGTGAAAAACAGTTTACATAATAATTAGCTGAGCGTATAACCTAACTCCCTTTAAATAAAAACAAAGTGTTTTTGCACAGGCATGCAAACTAAATGGAGGCAACAATGTACAGTAGTTTGTTCTATTTAGAACATCTGTTCACCATTTCAGAAAATTGTGCCATTGATGGCAGAGCCAGCTCCTGGTGTTTGAGTCTCTAATACAATAGAATTTGTATCAGTTTGCACAGGATAGTAAAGTGTTGTCAGGCCGGGTGCAGTGGCTTACGCCTGTAATCCCAACACTTTGGGAGGCTGAGGCAGGATTGCCTGAGCCCAGGAGTTAGAGGTTACTGTGAGCCATGATTGCACAACTGCACTCCAGCCTGGCAACAGAGTGAGACCCTGTCTTTTTTTTTCTTTTTTTGAGACAGTCTCACTCTTACCCAGGCTGCAGTGCAGTGACATGATCTTGGCTCACTGCAGCCCTCTGCCTCCCGAGTTCAAGCAGTTCTTCTGCCTCAGCCTCCTGAGTAGCTGGGACTATGTGTGCCACCACACCTGGATAATTTTTGTATTTTTAGTGGAGACGGGGTTTCACCATGTTGGCCAGGCTGGTCAACTTGAACTCCTGGCCTCAAGTGATCCACCAACCTTGGCTTCCTAAAGTGCTGGGATTATAGGCGTAAGCCATGATGCCCAACCAAGATCCTGTCTCAAGTAAAAAAAAGTCAGCGGGGAGGGGTGGGTGCGGTGGCTCATGTCTGTAATCCCAGCACTTTGGGAGGCCAAGGCAGGCGGATCATGAGGTCAGGAGTTTGAGACCCCCCGACCAATATGGTTAAACCCTGTCTCTACTAAAAATACCAAAATTAGCCAGGTATGGTGGTGTGCGCCTGTAGTCCCAGCTACTTGAGAGGCTGAGGCAGAAGAAACGCTTGAACTAGGGAGGTGGAGGTGGCAGTGAGCCAAGCTCATGCCATTGCACTCCAGCCTGGGCAAGAAAGAAAGAGGTGGGGGAGGGAGGGAGGGAGGGAAGGAAGGAAGAAAAAAGAGAAAGGAAGGTAGGGTTGGGGCAGGTATGTTGTAAATATAGAAAGTAGCCCAAAGGCTGGGTACTATTGCACATGCCTGTTGTAATCCCAGCTATTTGGGAGTCTGAGATAGGATGATCACTTGATCCCACCCAGAAGTTTGAATCAGGCCTGGGCATCATAATGAGACTAAAAAAAAAAACTAAACTCAAAAGGTATTGGGCCTTATAGATGAGAACCAGTAGGCTGCTGGGTCAAGGTCAGTGTCTTAGTTTGGGTGGCTAAAGTAAATTACCATAGATGGTAATAGCAATTTATTTCTTATAGTTCTAGAGGCTCAGAAGTCCAGGATCTAGATGCCAGCAGATCCAGTGTATCGTGAGGACACTTCTGGTTTGCAGATGGTCGTCTTGCTGTGTCCTCACATGGCAGAGGAAGCAAGCTTTCCTTGTTTGTCTTCTTATAAGGACACTAATGTTATCATGGGAGGTCTACTCTCAGAACCTAATGACCCCCTAAAGAGCCCATGTAATGTTGTCCCACTGGAAGTTAGGTTTCCGACATTGGAATTTTGAAGGGGACACAAACATGCAGTCTGTAACAGATTCCCTATCATGATATGCAAGACCTCTTTTTGAGACAGGGTCTCCGTTGCCCAGGCTGGAGGGGAGTGGCATGATCATAGCTCACTGCAGCCTCAACCTCCTGGGTTCAAGTGATCCTGCCACTTCAGCCTCCTGAGTAGCTGGGCTATAGGCACATACCATCACACCTGGCTACTTTAATTATTTTTGTAGAGACGGGGGTCTCACTGTTGCCCAGGCTGGTCTCAAACTCTTGGTCTCAAACAATTCTCCCACCTTGGCCTCCTAAAATGCTGGGATTACAGGCATCAGCCACCATACTTGGCTATGATGGTTAACTTTATATGTCAACCTGACTGGGTCATAGGGTACCCAGATATTTGGTCTTATTCTGGGTATATCAGGATATTTCTGGGTCTCATTGAATAGGTTGAAGGCCTGTATAGAACAGGAAGGCTGATTAAGAGACTCTATCTAAGGTGGAACATCAGTCTTCTGCCTTGTGATGTGGACTCAGACTGGAACTTATACCATCAGCTCTCTTGGTTTTCAGGCCTTTGGACTTGGACTGGAACTATACCATTGGCTCTCCTGGGTCTTCAGCTTATCACCTGCAGATCTTGGGACTTCTCAGCCTCCAGAACCGTAGAAGCCAATTCCATATAGTAAATCTCTTTCTCTCATCTATATATCTTACTGGTTCTGTTTCTCTGGAGAACACAGACTAATGCATCCATATTGATGGGAAAATGGTTCATTCATTGTAATTGCTGTGTAATATGCCACTGAGTGAGCATATCAATTTGTTTTGCTATCCTAGTGAAGGGTTATTGGGTTGTTCCCACTTTTTTCCTCTTACAAATCAATAGCAATGCAGTGAGTATTTTGTATGTTTACTTGGGCCTATGTGTTAGTTTCTCCAAAGAAGGAAATATTACTGGTTATTTAGCTTCACTAGTTGTTAAGTTGCTTTTCCAAAGTGGTTATGTGAATTTCACTGTCACCAGCATTTCCCTATTCTGTTGGTGTTGAGTTCTATTAATTTTAATTTATGTATCATTGATTTCTGATAAGGTAGAGGACCTTTTTATTGAATTATTGGCCGTTAGTATGTTTACCCTCTGGGAATTTCCTATTTGCATCCTCCCCTCACCCCTACTTGTTTTTCTGTCACCCAGGCTGAAGCGTAGTGGTGCAAACTTGACCTTGGCTCACTGCAACCTCCACCTCCCGGTTTCAAGCAATTATGCCTCAGCCTCCTGAGTAACTGGGACTATAGGCATGCACCACCATGCCAGGCTAATGTTTGCATTTTTAGTAGAGATGGGATTTCACCATGTTGGTCAAGTGGGTCTGAAACTCCTGACCTCAAGTGATCCACCTGCCTCAGCCTCCCAAAGTGCTGGAAGCACAGTTGGGAGCCACTGTGCCAGGCCCCACTTTTCATATTATCTTCTTTGAAAAAACAATTTGTAGGCAGTGCCTTATATATTCTGGATACTAGTATTTTATTAGCT